GTCTCTTGCCAGTTCGGTTAGTGCCAGCTCGCTGGTGAGCTGGGACGGTCTGACGGTCCTGATCTGAGGAGTGGTCTCTCACCAGTCCGGCTCGTGCCAGCTCGCTGCAGACCGAGCTGCCGACAGCTAAACAGCTCGACGGTGCAACAAACCTGACGTCACGGGCTCCTCGGAGTTCTAGAGAGGAGTTTGCAGTTGCCAAGAGCTGTTGGTGTTATTCGGAACTTGCGGTGTGTCGGCAAGGCACACCGCAAGTTCTGGAGGTAAAATATGGATAACGTATTAGAGACAGACATATACAGCGTTTCCATGCGGTTTGTGTATTTCTGTGCTATGGTTGTCCCACAGCCTTGAGAGTAAGCACGTCTGAGCGGGCCGTTTATCCTCAAGCCATGAACTCCCATAACTGCCGTGAGCGATTCTTATCGCGTCGCACAGCTGTCTCACATGTGCGGGCTGACCTAAAGAGGCACGGACGACCCACCGTTTGTGAAACCTTGCGCATGGAAATGATCATAGACCAGCCGTTAACAAGCCTGGAGACGTGTACCTAACACCAGGCAATGTTTCATATAATTGCGCTGCACGAAGGCCTAATTGCCATGTTCTTCCCTCAACAAGATGAGTGGATGAAAACTACGTGCTCAACTGCAGTCGTAGGTACCGATTGGGTGGAAGTCATTCATATCATACATGAAGATTTCGCACAGGAACCACCGAATGCCCAGTGTCATCCCGTCATAATGCATTCGCAATAAATTTCATCAGCAGGTAAAGGGGCAATGCAGCGCCCGTCCAAACTTTCCGCAGGCTCTGCGGCTGGCAAACACCTCTGAGTCTAAGTTCACGCATGCTGATAAGCCGAAAATATCGCCATCGTGCACATTTATCGCTCAGGGCAATTCTCACGGCACAGCTATCAGGATCTCAAACTGAAATCAGCACGAAGCCTAAGAATCGAGATTCCCAATCGATCATCAGCAGCCGCGCCACGTTAAGGCCGTCCAGACGAGCAGGTCCTTTCAGAAATGTTTCCCGCTGCGAACAGCTCAATGCCCGATCACGAACCAGACCGCAAGCAATCGACCACAAGCGAGGCAAGCGGCAGCCAGGGAGCATTCGCCACGCGCGCGTCTCTCCCTGACGGTGGAAAGTGCCGCCGTTGCCCAGCAGCCGGTCGTCTGCGGCCGGCGGCGCGCGCCGCGCTGGCGCGCCGCCAGCCGACGCTGCTCGGCAGGCGCCGGCGGGAGGTCCTGCTCGGCGGCCGACGGCGCGACCTATCGAGGTCAGCGGCCGGCCGATCCGGGCCAGCCGGCCATGTCGACTGCCGAGCGGGCGAGCGCGCGCGCCGGCCCAGCTGGCCGCCGGCCGGCGCTGGCCGCCGAGCCCGCCGCCGACCGAGCTCGACTCCTGTTGGCAGGGACGGGCTCCTGAGGTCGTAACGGCGGGGATGAACGCTGGCGAAAGGTCACAGTGGTGCTGTGGAGGCCACGAAGACCACTGTGTCGTTCTGAGCCACTCTGAGGGAAGTGGCGTCGTGTGGGGCATCAGCACGGAGCCATGACGCTGGCGCGGCCGGCAGCACCTCTTGGATGACGCCTGGAGTCGATGAGTGCAACTGCGGTGCTGCAGCCACGGCCCAGCGCGGCGGCTCCCGCACCGGATTTTACGCCCTGTGACTTCAAATACCGCGAACAAACGGTGGCAGCGTGGCTCGGCTTTGCGGCGAGCGCCGGTCGCCTCGGAGTCAGGCGACAAGAGTGTTGTCACCGGACCAGCGAATGGGCGCTGACAGCCGGACCGAGCACGATCCCGCACTGTCATCGTCTGGAGCCCGCCGCTCACGCTCTACTTCTCCACCCCTCTGCCCCTCTCTCGCTCCTTCCCCCACCCTCTCTTCTCTTCCTCCTCCTTACTCTCTACGCTCCTCTCTCCCTCGTCCTCGCTCTTTCCCTCCCCATCCACCGCGTTCTCCTCATTTATGCAAGAAACCGTGCAGATAACATCTGTTGCGCGTTTAGTGAAAGGAGCATGGCGAAGACCATCACGTGGCCGTTACCCTAATTCAGCGCCGAAGTCTTTGTACAGCTGGGCTGCAATTATGAAGGAACGAACTACTCTCGCGTAAAGTAGAAACTGTGCCCCGCGATTCCTATTGGGGCCGTGATCACCTCGTCAAGGCCCCAAAGCCTGGCGCGCATTCCTTCGCGGCTTCCTGCTCATTGAGCGACAGCCATTAAGCGGCGCTAATGGTGATTGGGACACTCCATCATGGTCGGGCCGAAGCGTCCGGCGCCGGCCTCTCACGCGACGTTTTCAGGCCGCCGGGGAGCGCGTCCGTGCCGGCCGGACGCCGCCAGCAGCGTGTGTGGAGATCCCAGGCAGGGTGGGCCCGGGCCGGGCCGTCGTCACCTGTCCCGCCGGCCACTGTCGCCGGCAGCACGTGTGGAGATCCCGGGCAGGGTGGGCCTCGGTCCGGGCCGTCGTCACCCGTACCGCCGGCCACAGTCGCCGGCAGCACGCGTGGCGATCCCGGGCAGGGTGGGCCTCGGTCCGGGCCGTCGTCACCTGTACCGCCGGCCACTGTCGCCGGCAGCACGTGTGGAGATCCCGGGCAGGGTGGGCCTCGGTCCGGGCCGTCGTCACCCGTACCGCCGGCCACAGTCGCCGGCATGCCCCGCGCACTTACCGGAACGACCAACGTGTCAGACAGCGTGTCAGATAGCGTGTTTTCAGGAATGGCTCTTTGCCGGCTACGGGCGTACGAGAGTCTATTACCCAGTTAGCCGCATCGGCTATGTCTGTTGCTATTGCCTGCCAATCACCTTAGGATGCAATAATGCGAGCACTTTCAGCAATGTTTGCGTTTCCGTTCTGGTAATCTAAAGATGAGATAAATGTTGTTGTTAGGATCATAGAATGTTAAAGCAACTGTAAAAGGAACGTTTACGGCGTTGTTCCTCAAGGCAATGCAGCTAGCATTCTTCAGATCCCCAAACCGCGTCCCATCACGCCACGTGCTCCTGAACGACCCTCGCTTCTCGTCAGCAGTATGCAGTCGGTTACGTGTCCCATTTGTCCACGCATGCCTTGTGCGATAGCTGTCTCGCTTTCGCAAGGACGCATGCATTTCGATTATCGGCTTTGTCTCAGATCACACTTTGTGACCACAACTAGCTCACGTGGGAGTTTGTATGCATTATTACAGACACCCATAGATCATGGTACGCCAGTAACACATTCACGGAGGTGACGCACGTAGGTGCACACTTTCTTCCCACGCAGCAGCTTGCGTTATCGAAGGGAACCGATCGGCGGTGTCAAGTGTGAGGTGTTAAGCGCTTTCACACCTTCACAAATAGAATCGTAAATTCCCAGCGGCTGCTGTGGAGGCGGGCACGCGGCGACGACTTGGCTCACAGCTGTGGTCGTGACAGCGTTGGGCAACAGTCAATCCCGGGCGCGCCCCTCACGGTGCGGCGGGACCGGGGCGGGCAGCTCGCTCACGACTCCGGGGGGGGGGGGGGGATAGCCGGGCATGCTACATCCAGACGGCGAGCCCAGAAACGAGCGCCGCCACCTAGCCCATTCATCCCGCTCACGCGGCGCCCTGCGCCGGCGCGGCGCTGGCCCACGCGGTGAATGAATGGGATGGCCCTCGCTCCGAGGTGGTCCTGTTTACCGTCTCGTCCCACCTCGTCCCCTCCGCCGCCCGCTCGCGTATGTTCGGAATGCGGCGCTCGTCCGCCGCGAGCCGACACCCAGGAAAGGGGGCCGGCGGGCGGGGCAAGCGACATGAGCCTTTCGTGGCACGGCGACCGCCGCGAGGGAGAAGTGGCGGCCGGCGCCGCGACCGCGCTGTCCGGCAGCGTCTCGCTTGCTGGCGCCAAGCGGTCACCGCGCTGAGGAAATCCAAAACAATGGGGACGCGCGAGACACTTTCGTCCGGCGCGGGCCGACTCCAGCGGCGAAGCGGAAGCGGTCGGACACGACATCGCAGGCGCGCGGGGCGTAATTGGCTCTGGAAAGTCGCGCCAACCGGCGGCAATGCGGCGGCGCACGCTCGCCGCCATCTGCCGCCGAGGAGCCGGGGAGGCCGGGTCACGACGGCCGGAAAGGAGGTGCGTTTCTCTGAAGTCGCGCTCAGCGGGCTGCCCGTGCCCTCCGTCCGTCACCGGCGACCGAAAACCGGGCGGGACCGGAGAGAGCAGACCGGGGGAGATGGAATAGAGAGAGAAAGAGATCTGATTTTGATCCCATGTGACCCCACGCTCCCTGAGGTCTTTTCGAAATCGACGTGGGTGCCGATCGAAGCAAAACTCAATCGTAGAACGCCAGCCGCTTGATCGGACTGGCATGCCTTGGAGACGCACTGCCGGCTGTGTTCAGGTTTCCCAACTTTTGTTGGTGGGAAACATGTCGACACTAATGACGAGGACAATTACACGCATCGCGAACTAATTGAAGGGTGATACCAAAACCCGGACTTCTCGAACATCTAACACCATGTTGCGCTACAGCACGACTGAAGCACCTATCGGTGACACCAAATCTGATGTTACACCCCATTTGACAAAAGTGAGTGTCATCAGAGACACCGTTATACTTCATTCGGGACATATACTAAAAACCGGACAAAATAATGCATCGCACCGGCCATTTACAGGTGCAACCAGAGCCGATATGACACTCCTATTTTGCACGGGCACCGCTAGAGCCAGCGTCACGTCGCCATTTGCGTGTCTCACCAGTGTCATTGTTTCGCTGCTATTGGCGTAAGTAGGCGCCCCGGATCCAGAGTTGCACCCCTTGTGACGGTAACAGTCCTGACCGAGTCGTCGCTGCAACTCCGCTGCGATCGGCCCATGTGATCAGATTTGATGTCCGATTTGACGCCCTCAGGAGTGGACTGCCGCGACGCCAGCAGGCGTCAACTACCCCGCCTGACACCAGCAGGCGTCAGCGGACACGCCATAACTCCCCTGTGCGGCGGCCGGCAGGTGTGACCGGCGCCGATGTGACGCCCGCCTGACGCCACCGGACGCCATGCAGCCGGTCGAGTTGTACGGGTGGGTGGCGGCCGCCGCCGCCGCCCCTCTCCAGGTCACGCTGGCCGTCGGCGTGCTGACCCTGCTGCACGCCTGCCGCGGTCGCTGGCGCACCGTCGACCTCTTCCTCGTGGCCGTGCTGGCGCAGCAGCTGCTGGCCGCCGTTCTGGCGCTGGGCTTCGCGCTGCTGCGGCTGATGCGGCCGGACGCGGCTGCCGCCTGCGCCGCCTTCGCGTGGGCCTGGACGGCGCTGCGTACTCTGCAGGCATCCACGGTGGCGTCCATGGCCGCCGACCGCGTGCTGACCGCCCAGTGGCCCTACAAGTACCGCTACTTCGGTGCGCCGCAACCAGATCCGCTACCACATCGGCGTGCTGGCCACGGTGGCCGTGCTGGTGGGGACGGCGGCGCTGTTTTCGGCCGGGCAGAACGCCGCCGACCAGCCGGCCGCCTGCACCTTCCTGCCCTACCGCATCAGCGGCAAGTTCGCCGTCTTCCTGCTGGCGCTGCATGTGCTGCTGGCGCTGGTGGCGGCCGGCGCTGTACTGGCCGTGCAGACGCTGCTCTGTCTGAGGCCGCGGCTGCGGCACGCGCACTCCGACCTGAACCCGCTCAACCACAACCGCCTCGGACACGTCGACGTCGTCCGGCTCGGCGGGCGCGGCGCCCCGATACGGCGCGGCCGGCGCCGGCACCGGCGTCGCCACCCTGCCGCAACCCGGTCAACCGGCGCCGGCGCCGCGCCGCCCGCCGCCTCAGCGACTTCCGCTGGCCGACAGTGGCGCTGGTCACCGTGCTCTGCTACGCGCTGAACCACCTGCCCTACCTGGTGAGTACGACGGCGACGCCATACGGTCCGAACGGCGAATCGGAGGGGCGCGCGTAGCTCGGGCGCCTACTTCGACCTGTCGGGAAACTGTTAGGCGGCTCAAGTTTTCTCGTGAATGCGTGTGAATGCACCACGCACGTGCATCGCGTATGTTACGTCTATGCATGTTAATTCATCTCTGGTGGAAATGAATGAAGCGAATTAGCTTTCTGTGCAGATAACGCAATGCTACGAAGTATATAAGTATTTGGTTAGATTTGTGACGGTTAAAGTAAGTTAGTTACTAGCTTGGAATCGGAGTGCAGCAGCATCCCCGGGTTAAAGTTCGTGCTCCAGGAAGGAGCCTCTCAAAAAACTGTTCTGTCAGTGCTTCGAAGCTCGTGTTCCGGGCATAAATCATCAGGATTAACTGTAGTCAGGTTTTCCCATCGCCTATAGCATATGAGCCTGCCTCAATCATAATCTCTGAGGAGCCTGGCTCATGCGTCGAACCGATGCATCGTGGTCTTAAATAGAGCATGGATGAAGCTGGTGGCATCATTAAGCGCCATTACGTGAATGACAGGAAGGCGGGCATCAGCCGGGCGGTTGATCGGTTTTCAAGCGCGGGCTCGCTGCGTATCGACTGGCGACAGTTACCCGGCAGGTCATTAGCGACGCGAGAGCGCCGTCCGTGCTGAGCCGGGCGGAGTGGGCCGGCCCTGCTGCGCCAAATGACGGGCAGCGCCGCTCGCTACAGCTGCCGTCCAACAGACACGGCACTGTCATTGCCGCGGGCAGAGCGACTGGCAGCGAGAGCGGGCGGAGAGAGGGGCGGCGCCGCCGGGTGCCGGCAGCGCGCAGATGTCGCTGATTTTACCGTTATGCCAACACGGCCGTCATCGCTGGGCGGCGGCCACCCACACGACAGAGTACAAGAGCATCGGGAGTAAACGAGAGGGAGAGAGAGAGAGAGAGAGAGAGAGAGGAGAGAGAGAGAGAGAGAGAGAGAGAGAGGGAGAGAGAGAGAGAGAGAGAGAGAGAGAGAGATAGAGAGAGAGAGAGAGAGAGAGAGAGAGAGAGAGAGAGAGAGAGAGAGAGAGAGAGAGAGAGAGAGAGAGGAGAGAGAGAGAGAGAGAGAGAAGAGAAAGGAGAGGGACGTACAAAGACAAGGTAGCCATTCACGGACGGTAAGAGAGACTGTCGGAGACAGGTGAGGGGAGTGGAAAACGGCAATAATGAATCATTGTGTTCTTAGCCCTATGCTTCCTTGATCGCTAAGGCAAAAGGGGTAGGATGATGGCCCAAAGCTTAGGGTTTATTGTAGCAGCTCAATCCCAAGCTTTTACAAATAAAGCCAGTTTGTTTGGGAAGCTGATTTGTACCACCCCCATCATCTCCTGCCCTCTCTCCGTAGCTGCTCTTCCCTTCCGTATAGTAGTTCCCAACGCTCCGGAACAAAGCACACGACCGCGGCCATCATTCCGAAGATCCAAGCCGTGGAAAATTCGTGCGAACTTGTCTCTGAGTGACGAGTTGTTTCAATGTTCGACGTAAAAGGGATGGCAACCGTTCCCATGCAAGCATTGTTTTTGGATTCTTTCGGGAGAACATTTTTCCTAATTCGCATTAACCTATACCTGCTGTTAAAACGTAAGCGGCCAAGTCACAATGCCAAGACCAGGGGCTTAGAGATGAGTACATGGGTGACACTTTGAGCGAGTGCTTTCAACACCGTTTCTGTTTGGGCTTTTGAGTGTACAATGTGCGCGAAGTCAACAGTCTTTTGGCGGATTACGCAGTGTAAACGCTGAATATGCATGGCACGCTTCATGCTCCAGTGCTAACTCCATCGTTATCTGCTGGTTGCTGTTCGTGGTATATGTGGTGAAGAGACTGGATTGCAACCATGCACGTGCATCAACGGCGCTTCTAATGTTATCGAACAGGAGAAGGAATAATGGGGTCCGTGTGATGCGTTTTTCATAGCCAGCAGTCTGGAAATGGTCAGCTTGAAAGTTCTTTTAAAGTAGCTTCGCTTCCAAAGGCCCCTAACGCAGTTTGGAATCAACGCCAAACGTTTCGCTCCAACAAACGATATCGTGGCATTGAAAACCACCCAAATGGAAACACAACCCGTTTCTCAGCTTGCAGGAGTGTTGTCAATCGAAAATGAGAGATGGTGACGTCGAATTCGCCTATTGGTAGTTCGGATGTATTTCTCCTCAACATGCCGTGCGGCTCGTGGTTTGCGGCATAGTTGGAGTCAAATTGTTGGCGTTGTGGGGTGGGATCCGTCGTGTAAATCCGCATCAAATATGCCACTTGGAACTTTTGATCCAAACTTCGAGCATCATGCAACAAACCACTCGCAGTTATAGACTTTCACCATGGTATTTCGAACGTCTGCCAAGCTTCAGCAAAAAAACCTTCTACAGACCCCTGACCGACCCGTCTCGCAACGCCCCGTTCAGCACCGTCTCTGACGGAACATGAGGTTTCAGTTCAACAACGACTTCGTTTGCCCTCCGCTCTTGCTTTCCGACGTGGTCCGACGCTATCATCTCTCCTCAGCGTGACACAAATCACGAACAAATCGCTTCAGCACCGCACAGTTCACCGCACGCCTCCGACCATTGCCCAGTGTGAGTTCCCGCCCATCATAATCGCACCGGTGCGGCGGCCTCGTCTGACCGGCCGGCATCCGGATCGGGGCGCCGTCGCTCCGGTCCGTCGCTCGGTAACCGGGCGCTGCGCGGCGCCTGCGCTGCTTGCCCCGCGTGCGTCCGTCCGCCGACTGCATGCAAATGGCTGCTGAAGGTCAGATGAACTGCGCGCCGACTCGCGCAGCGGCGCGCGTGTCTGCGGCGCCCCGGCCTCTCGTGTTACGGCCGCGCTGAGAGATAAGGGCCTCTGTCCCGGTGTCACGTCTGACGCCGTCTGCGATCGCGGACGGCAGACGTCCTACCCGCTATCTGACGGCGACGTGGGTCACCAGCAGCGGATAGCCTCTCCAGTGATCACGAGCGGCAGAGCGGGGTTGCTGTCGACCGCTGCCGTGATTGCAATCATGAACCTCGGTGTCGCCGTTTGTGTTCGGCCACGGCAGCAGCCGCGAATGGCTTCCGGTCCAGCGCGGCGGTGAGTGAGGCGGGCCTCCGCCTGAAGCAAGCACGTAGCCAAGGGGAGGGGCAGGAAGGCTGGTCCTCGCCCTTCGTGCCAAGGTGAGAGGCAGGTCACACCGCAAAGCCTCAGTAGTTGAGTGTGACGTAAAACTCTAATGACACAAGGTGGTGTTCGTGCTCCCCTTTGAGCTGCTGCGGAAAGGCGTGGCCCTTTGACAAACGAAGGAAATCGTAGTGATTCTCACAAACTTCCGTTACCGTAGTCATGA